ATTTCAACAGATCTTAACACATTCAGTTTTAGCAAAGTACTATTTTAGTAACTTTATAACTTTCCTGATCTAAGTGTTTTTTGCTTGAATCAGACATATACATGGATACCAATCAAGCAGACCATCGAAAGAATATTTGATAACTCTTACAGACGTGATCAGTAAGGAAAATAAAATGTTTCTTTTACTTTTTTTCTCTCCCTTCCCAAATGTTCTATATCTATATTTTCTTCTATTTTCTGGTCTTATTTAAAATGAAGGCACAGAGAAAAGCAGAAAAGAGTATTATGACATGAGTTTCTAGTCACTCCAAACAAGTACATACAAAAGAAGCAAGAACATAAAAACAAAAGGTAGTGAAAAAATTGTCCAAAATTGATAGCTCTCTCATCCTGCAAGTTGATATCGCCAAATGATCGAATAGAGTGAACTATAAAACAACAAACAAAACGAACAACAAAACACAATATACAAAAACAAGATGTCTACAGCTTCAGGTAACATCTTAAAGATGATTTACATTTTGGACTTTTGCAGTGCATTGCACATAATAGAAGAACTGTCAAGCCTTTGGAAACTCTTGCTACCTTACTTGTAATTGAAGCTTGCTCGAATATAATAAATACTTCATGCTATGTATACTGAAATATGCTTTCTTTCTATTTGGTTAAAGAATTAAATGTATTCGGTGATATAAAGCAATGCTATGATGATCAATATATAGACTGGTAAAACATCTGCTTAAAGTCTTCACAATGGTTCACCTGGGTCTGGAAGTTAAAATCTCTTCAAAGAAAACAGGATTTCGAAAGATGGCCAAACGGTTGCGTTCCAAGATTCAATATGTACCATGTACGTCACAACTGGGATCAAAGGGCAGGGTGTGGCAGGTCTGGTCTTATGCAATAATGTCATTTCCATTCCTGACTTTAATCAAACACACATTAAAGACATTAATAACTAGAGGACTGTTAAACTTCATGATCATCATTCTTCCCTTCTACTAATTCTTTCTAATGCAAATAAATCGATACTGCTACTTTTTGTGCTTAGTATCCCTATTGGGAATGGTGAAAAACTGAATTTCCTGATATGAGTTGAGTCAAACTAGAAAACAAACACTTTTTTTCTTAGAAATAGTGAGGTTCAAAATATATGGCACAATATACAACAAATGATAAAAAGATACGGCATAATCCTTTAGAAGCTACCATTTCATTTGGGCGAGAAGTACTTTGCTTTGGATAGTTGTGTTGTTGACTGGGATTGTTCTACTATATCTCACTGCTTCTAAGGCTCTCTCGAAGCAAAGCATGTATACTGTCTTGTCTGTTTTTGTATTGGTCGGCTTCAATGTTCGAAGTAATAATTCTTTTTAAAATACACTTTATGTTAAGAGCTCACTCCTGGTCCCAGGCTAGATACGTGCATCACCTAGCTTCACACATCATATCACTCCCGACAACACTCGACGGAACTCAAGAGCACCATCGCTGCTAACTTTTTCTCTCATACAGCTTTTTATTTGCCATAACTCTTCTATTGTTAGTAGAGACGGGGTCTCATCTTCTCAGGCTTTCGAACTCCTGACCTCTGAGGCGACTCCTCCCTCTCGACTGCAGAGCTGCAGATGACAGTGTGAGCCACGCCCGCCCACAATACTACTTTAAGCGCTTGGTTGTCAAATAGCACCTGTGAAGATCTCTTATCCTTGCAGAAGCGCGCAATCTCTGATTAAATTTCTCTCTTTCCTCATACTTACATACACTCCTGGAAGTGCTAATCGTCAATCTCGTCCGAACAGACATGTCGGCACTGGGGGGGGCCCGCTTAAAGCTAAGAAGAATAATGACGAAGCATGATACAAGCAAAAGGCCTTGGCAACCGTGACATGTCAATCCCGGACAGTGCTCATGTCCTGTTGAATCTTATAACTTGAGAGCCTGTGGAGAGAGGGACATGTCAACCAGCAAAGAGAAACGAAACTTGCACCTGCACGTACATAAAATACATCATTCAGCTCTACAAAATAAAAAAATAATTCTTCTTTTTATATTTATACTAAAAATATATAATATAATTATATATAAATATTAATATAGTCAATATCAATATAATACATATAAACCATTAATAATATTCATATTAACCATACCTATCTAAATTAATTAATATTATGAGTAAAGTATATATTCCAATATTCTGCTCATATAATTTATATACCTTATATAAATACCGATTATATAACACATGTAGTATATTAATTTATATAGTTTGATACTTATTATATACTATCTTACAAGCCACCATATATAATACAATACGTATATATACTTAATAGCTATAGTATTTATAAAATGATAATATATAACTATCTTTTATATATATAGATCATCATATATCAAATACCTATCATCATTATAGTATTATATATTAACTAACAACTATATATTATCACTTATATAGATCATCATCTATAACCATGTCATATTCATTAACTAAATAAATACCTAAAAATACTTCTTATATTCTGTATTTCTATTATATTTATATTTACTTATATTATATTTTTTATATTTTATTTCTATCTTATATTATTAATTTTATACTTTATTATATATTCCATTAGATTTATATATTTCTATATTATCATACGCTTTCTGATGCTCTCAAAAAGAAAACTGAATTTGACAACCTGCACATGGAGTGACATTGAAACATGCTAGCTGAAAGCGTGGACCAAAAGTGACAAAACTGAGATTCCTTATGTAGAGCCCCGTGAGTTTGATTTCACCTAGACAAAGACAGAGGACAGCAATGGTAGAGGGGACAGTTTAGTGGTCTTGATACGAGTTTCAGTTCACATGAGAGAATTCTTCGGAAACTCTATTACAGATAGCTTGCCAACATGCGTAAACGCACTTAATGCCTGAGTCACGGTTGTACACCTAAAAGCTTAAGTTTTTTACATCTCTCCCACAAAGCAAAAAGAAATTGCTTAAGTTTATGTTATATATTACCACAATAATAAAAGAGATATCTCAAGCGGAATAGCCTGCAAGTGGAAAGGAAAAAAAAATAATACAGTTATTTATACAAAAAAAAGAGAGAGAGAGAGGAAGAAAGGACTCTTGTGTGTGTTGTTTGTGTGTTGTGTGTCGTGTACCACTCAGCAACTTCCACTGTCTCATTCAAAAGTGTCAGTGAGCTGGACACAGCGCTGAGTCAGGTAGCTCGCTCTCCAACTTACATTTTACAGGATGATTAAAATGCAGGAAAACAGTTTACTTCTAATCTTACTCTCTGAGACAGAGTCTCATCTGTGCCCGGGCTACGAGGAGTCCGTGGCGTCACCTCCTCACACAGCTCCAATCCTGGCTCAACGATCCTCCTGCTAGCATTCCGAGTAGCGGAAGACAGCATGCTCACAATGCCGCTAACGTTTTTTATTTATTTTTAAATTCTATATATATATTTTTTACTTTTCCAAACACAAGCTTTCAACCCGCTAATTTTTGTATAATACATTTTTAGTTGACCAATCTAATTTCTATTTTTTAGTAGAGATGGGGGGCTCATCTTGCTCCAGCTGTTCGACTCCTTGAACTTGAACATCTCCCGCCCTCGGCCCGTCCAGAGATGCTAGATTACGCGTGACACGCGCGCTGGTTAATTTAGCTCATCTTTAATGTCTTTAAATTCTAAAATCGCACACGTGCAGTGCTTACGCTGACATGATCCTAGAGCCCTGCGCTGTGAAGTTTCGACTGCTCTGAATTCGATTTCTGCATCTCCAGAAATCTGAGCTTATTGTTATAAATCCTAGACTTTCATAGCACGTGACATCATGGCTACGCATTGACACAGAGGAAATGGGTGAGCAATAGCTACTCGAAGAGTTCTGTCCAACCTCATCTGTAACGAGCTTCCTTAGGGCCTCTGCTGAAAGATAGACCTTCAGCAATCATATCCACGTCCTTCTTCTTTCTCCGCTTCTCTTATTCCATCTCCCACACTGATCCCCGTGGAAGTGACAATTCAACCTCTCGCTGCATGGTTACACACACACTACGGGCAGATCTGCAAGAATTCAGATTGCATAAGCTACATTAGTGAACAGGACGGCGTGATCATGAGTCTGATCATCTTTTACGTAAACAACGGATGCCGGCGCGAGTGGCGCGCGCTGTCATACTGGCACCTGTGAGGAGAGCGGGAGGATCGCTCAAGTCCCGGAGTTCGACGAGCTGAGCAAGAGCGACCACCGTCTCTACATAAATAGAATTATGGCAGTTAAAAATAGATAGAAAAAATTTCCAGGCATGTGCACAGTGCCTGTGCTCCAGCTACCTGAGGAGGCTGAGCTGAGGATATGTGAGCCAGAGTCTGGAGGTTGCTGTGAGTGACGCTAACACGCCCCATGGCACTCCAGCCAGGCACCACAGAATCACTCTGTCTTCAAAAAACCCAAAAACCCAAAATGGCACCGTTTTGCGCCATCAGTTGAACTAAAGCCAAGTCTTCTCATTTGTGGGATCATCCTAGTAAAAAAAGAAGAAATAGCATGCCGGCACGGTGGCTCACGCTCATCCTCAGCCTCCTGGACAAGGTGGGAGATCGCCTCAATTCAGATACGCACATCCTGAGCAACGAAGTGAAGGACCCGTCCTATCAAATAGAAAGAAATTCTAAATTGCTAACGTAAAACATCATAGAACAAAACTTAGCGGCGTGGCTACTGCTTAGTCCCAGCTACCTTCGGGAGGAGGCTAGGCAGCGAGGATGCTTGAACAAGATTGGTTCTGCCGTGAGCCAACTAAAAATATATATACAAAAAATTAGCCGGGCATGGTGGCGCATGCCTGTAGTCCCAGCTACTCGGGAGGCTGAGGCAGGAGGATTGCCGAGCCCAGGAGTCTGAGGTTGCTGTGAGCGAGGCTGACGCCACGGCACTCACTCTAGCTTGGGCAACAAAGTGAGACTCTGTCTCAAAAAAAAAAAAAAAAAAAAAAAAATCTGGTTGACTTTTTGGAAGCATTGGCATTGTCACAGCAAACCATCTGCCACTAGAATCAGCTGGTAAAATGCAGAAAATTCATTATTCTTATGGGAATAAAAGAACAATAACAACACTGGGTGAGTGTAACAGAGAGCCCTAGAATGAATACAGTGGTGAAGACAAAACTAATAATTTTAAGGTGAGTTATATATTCCTAAAACACTGTAAAAAAAAAAAAATACAAATCTTTTGTTTTCCAGCTGTCAGTGTTAGCTATAGGAATTAACATCTACAGATCATCCAGTGTGGAGATGCTAGTACAGTTTTTGGACGATCGAAATACCTTCCCCAACTTCGAGCATCTGGCCTACTGGCAAATAGAGTTCAACAACATAGCTGCCGTCACCGTGTTTTTTGTCTGGATTAAGGTAATTTGTACATTTCATGTTCTAGATTTTTAGTGCTATTTCTTTTTTTTTTAATTTTTTTTTTAATTTTGGCATATTATGGGGTAATTTTTTATTTTAGCGTATTATGGAGGTACAAGTATTAAGGTTATATATATTGTCCATGCCTCCCTCCCCCCTCCAGTCAGAGCCTCAAGCGTGTCCATTCTCCAAATGTTGCACATCTTACTCGTTTGGTTGTATACACCCATCCTCTCCTCCCCCAAGACTCTCGCTTTGTTGCCCAGGCTAGAGTGAGTGCCGTGGCGTCAGCCTCGCTCACAGCAACCTCCAACTCCTTGGCTCAAGCGATCCTCCTGCCTCAGCCTCCTCCTGAGTAGCTGGGACTACAGGCATGCACCACCACGCCCGGCTAATTTTTTCTATATATTTTTACTTGGCCAATTAATTTCTTTCTATTTGTAGTAGAGACGGGGGTCTCACTCTTGCTTAGGCTGGTCTCGAACTCTTGACCTTGAGCGATCCTCCCGCCTCGGCCTCCCAGAGTGCTAGGATGAGAGGCATGAGCCACCGTGCCCAGCCAGTGCTATTTCTTTCTTTCTTTTTACTAGCATGAGTCCCACAAAATGGGGAAGGACTTGACTTTGAGATTCAACTGATTGGCCAAAGTGGCTCCATGTTTGTTTGGTTTGTTTTTTTGTTTTTTTTTGTTTTTAAGACAGAGTGTCATTCTGTTGCCTGGGCTAGAGTGCCATGGCGTTAGCGTCACTCACAGCAACCTCCAACTTCTGGGCTCAAGTGATCCTCCTGCCTCAGCCTCCCAGGTAGCTGGGACTACAGACATG